AAAAACGAAGTCCAGTTTGACCCCAAACCATCTGTGCCGGCCTGGTGTACGATCATTGTTAACGCAGAGTGCCACAAGGTTTCAGGCCATTTAAACAACCCCGTACTTTCCAAAATCGCTTCAGCTTATTGAAGGCTAACATCTGATAGCAAAATAGGGTTTCAAAGGAGAAATTATACGTACTTTTGAAAGCTTCGTTCGCGAGCAATGGCCGCAAACTCACCGACTCTCATAATCCTGCAAAGATATACGCAAAATCTATTCAGTCAATAAGTTAACACCCTATTATGACAATGTGCGAACAGATCCCCATCCAAATACAATCCATGTACATAAAACATCGTTGTAAGTTGAAAGAAAACTTTCAATGGAATGTGTCCAAGCCAACGCCGTGCCGGTACCTCGACTGATCAGTACGTAACGCTATTGCGGCAACACGGACAAATTGCAAATTTTACCTGTCTGCCAGGAATAGTATGGCTTTGGCAATTTCTTCGGGTGTCCCTGCTCTCTGGTATGGAATCCGTGTCGTATCAGCAGCTATTTTTTCTTCGGCCTGCAAGTTTTTTGTTCAAAAGAGAGCGCCACAAATCTTGTATCAGTTTTCTTATTTCTGCAACTTACAGCTTGTACGACCTTATCGGCAAGCCCCTGATTCTGCATTATGTTTGTGGATACGAGTCCAGGACTGAGAAAACTGCCATTACAGAAAACCAATTCAAATTATTAGGTTGGAACTAGGTTTTGCAACTGCTTTGATAACTTTTTTCACTGGATGTGGCACGCTCAAATTTTGGCAGTATATAGACGTACGTACGTTACAGATCTGCATAGACACTTTCGTTTTTAAATTCGAAATAAATTACAGGCATTTTTCGAGAATCAGTAAATTTTGGGGAGTTTTAAGGAAAAATGAAGCCGTTATCAACCCAGATCATGCACAATGATCCGAAACTGTACGTTTTTATTGTCAGAGATTGGTTCATTTAGCTTTTTAAAAAAGGAACAGGATTGAACGTCAAATCCTCTGCCGCCCTAACAAACTTGGAATAATCGCTGTGCGCAAGCCTGCTGGAGATAACCAGCAATGACAGGAGCTGACACCTCAAAATTTGCCGAATTTCCACATAGTGGGTTTTTGACTTGCTGAATACCAAAATCATACTCATTTGTTAAAAAGCGCCTCTTTTCTTGCTTACAAGGGAGGGACGCGTAATCGAAGTGGTCGATCACTACAAGATGCATACCA